GCTTATTGATTGCAGCTCACCTTGACCAGCTTCTCAATCCTGCTCCGATGAAGACGCACGGTGCCTCAGACCTTAATTTATTGACGAGCTCGGTTTCTGAGGCACTCAGCGCGCTCAAAGCACTGGATCAGCCAACGGAACATTGGGGTCCAATCGTCGTCCACGTGCTCACTCGTCGCTTATCCAATAAGCTTCGTGAGGCATGGGAAAATAAAATCGGAATATCGACTGAGTATCTGACGCTTGAACATCTCCTCGATTTCCTGCAAGGTCGTTCACGAGCCATGGAGACCTTGGAGGTTGGGTCTTCGGTGNGACGCTTGAACATCTCCTCGATTTCCTACAAGGTCGTTCACGAGCCATGGAGACCTTGGAGGTTGGGTCTTCGGTGCATACATCGAACGACGCCTCTCGTCCTTCGCAGCCCAGCGTCCAGACTCGTTCGATGACCAAGAGTAGTGCCAAGGTCAATCAAGCCTCGGTGTCTTCGCATGCGCAGCAGTCAGCCCAGAAATCTCCTAGTCCAGCGCAAATACAGTCCACAAAGTTGACGTCCTGGGCCGACGCGAGCTATCCTTGTTCCTACTGCAAGATGGATCACTACATCGCTTCTTGCAGCGGGTTCAAGTCGCTTACACCAACAGCAAGGAAGGAGGTTGTCGAACGACTCTATCTGTGCTACAACTGTCTAGGGAAGCACAGTATCAGAGTCTGCCAGACAACTCGTACGTGCAAGACATGCCAGGAGAGGCACCATTCCCTGGTGCATTTTGATCGCTCTCGTCGTCCAGCTCAACGTGGTCCAGCATCTCAAGTCCCTCTCAACGATGCAGGAGCTCAGCGCCCAAGTGCTTCTGCTCCATTGACCAGCGTGCCTGTCGTGACGTACACTCACGCCGGTGACTCTACTCAGGCTTCGTCTTCAGCCCATCCTCAGGCCTGCAGCGGACCGTCCTAAGCGTCGATTCCTTGTTCGGCCCATAGTTGTTCTGCGCAAACCTCTCCGCCTGGAGTCCTTCTCGCAGCTTGTTTAGCTCTTCTAGTGAGCGATTATTGCCCTCCGCATCAAGTTCGACTCTTGTTGGGTTCAGGCTCCGAACTCTTGCTCATCTCAGATCAACTAGTTCGGAGGCACCGTGCGTTCAGGCGTCCGTCTCAACTGAAGCTTACGCCTCTACATCGACCAGCTCAACGATTTGTCGTATTGCCCTGCGAATAGATGTTACCTTCACATTCAAGTGCTCTTCGTCTTCGGTTCAGTCGGTAACCGCTTGTTAATGTTGACGAGATGACCTTGGCACGTGTTGCGCAAGCACCATGAGGGTCTCCGAAGCACTTCAAGTTGGCCCGTCTGACGTCTCTTCAGGTACATCGATCTCGCTTGGCGCTCAGAGCTTGCCTCCCTGAAGCCTCATCTCAGCAACTCTTGTCGCCCTTTCGCATCAGCTGACTTCAGATGGAACACTCTGACTTCAGATGGAAGCGTCTTCTTTTTGGCCTGCGCACACTGAACATAGAAGCATAGAAGCACTGCCACCGTATTTCTGTCAAAACTATGTCAGCACTGACTTGCTGATGGCGGGGAGGGTAAATGGATCGCTCATTCTTCTCTCTCATTTTATTTTGATGTTCAATACTGTATTTAGATATTGAATGAAACACTCGTCTTCTCAATAATTGAATAGCTCTACGAATTCGTCATTCCTCGAACGAGATGTCGAACCTTGATGAGGATTTACGCCCCTCATTATCGAACCGAGCTCAGTTTGGGAGTAAGTCTTTTGGGGATCAATGGAATTTACGTCTCCATGACTCCTGACTGTACTTACATCGAGATCATCGCATTGAGAATTTCCTCAGTATAGACCTTCGTCACTCAACTCTTCAATTGAGCTTCGTGAAGTCAGTTCTGAGGTGAACTTTCACCAGACCAGCGTGTATAAATATAATCCAGAGACACGTCACATATCAAAGGGAAGCCACGGACCAGCGATTTTCAGTGTATACGACCCTATTGTTTAAATCAAGGGTCAGCTCAATAGTCAGGTATTCGTATTGGAAGGAGAACGGATGGTTCTGTGATTGATCAACTCTACGTCAAGAACATCGTTCTGAATTTGCATAGGCTGTTGACGAGTAGTCAAACAGCAGCTCAATTGAGACCAAACTCCCGAGAAAGTTTCTTAATGCTCAATGTGCTCATGGTATCAGAAACGTTGATGAGGAGTCATGAACCTTGTCCTCAAATCTGGTATCAACCGGTACTTTCAATGGACCATGTTGGAGTTTTAGGAACCCGTCGTGTTCTGCCCAGCGAAAAAACTTCTGTCCAGCGAAGGATCTCTGCCCAGCGAATGAATTCCCGCTCATTGACTCACTCTGAACTTGGGCCAGCTCCCAGTTGCTCGTCTCACACCTGGCCGAGCGTTCCTCAACACTGGAGTTGACTATGCCGGACCAGTGTCTCTCCGCTCGTGGAGGGGGCGTGGTCATAAGTCGTACAAGGGATGGCTCGCGATCTTCGTCTGCATGACTACGTCCGCAGTCCATATTGAGGTCGTCTCAGATTACGCAGCCGATGGATTCATCGCTGCGTATCGTCGCTTTGTTGCCCGGCGTGGACTCTGCAAGAACTTGTTCTCAGACTGCGGAACGAACTTCTTGGGAGCCGACCAGGAATTGAAGAAGCTCTTCTCAATGGCGTCTAAGGAATCGAACAAACTAGCCCAACTCTTGCTCAGCGATGGAACCAGATGGTCTTTAAACCCTCCAGGTGCACCGTACTTTGGAGGCAAATGGGAAGCCGCGGTAAAGTCGGTGAAGTTCCATCTCAAACGAACGATCGGCGATGCCCTATTGACCTACGAGGAACTCACTACTTTACTCGCGCAGATCGAAGCCATGCTCAATTCGCGACCACTGGAACCGCTATCAGAAGATCCTGATGACGTCAGCACGCTNACAAACTAGCCCAACTCTTGCTCAGCGATGGAACCAGATGGTCTTTTAACCCTCCAGGTGCACCGCACTTTGGAGGCAAATGGGAAGCCGCGGTAAAGTCGGTGAAGTTCCATCTCAAACGAACGATCGGCGATGCCCTATTGACCTACGAGGAACTCACTACTTTACTCGCGCAGATCGAAGCCATGCTCAATTCGCGACCACTGGAACCGCTATCAGAAGATCCTGATGACGTCAGCACGCTCACACCAGTTCATTTCCTGATTGACCAGGCCTTGACCTCCGTTCCTGACCCTTCGCTGGAGCATTTGAACGTCGCTCGCCTATCTCGTTGGCAGCTTATCCAGCAGAAGGTTCAGTACTTCTGGAAGCGGTGGTCCACTAGCTACCTTCAGCATCTACAGTCCATCTCGAAGTGGCACCACCCATCTCACGACATTAGAATTGGGTCCATAGTCCTTCTCACCGACGAGAGGTTCTCATCAACGAAATGGCCTCTCCCTCGAGTCATCGCTCTCCACCCTGGTAGAGATGGACTCGCCAGGGTGGTCACCATTAAGACGTCCAGTTCTACTCTGCAACGGCCCATCTCGAAGCTCGCTCTGCTGCCAGTCTCGACCAGCGACACTTAAGATCATCTCGACCAGCGATATCTAGGATCATCTCACGTGATGACAGCTCTGCATCATCGGGTTCATCATAGTCCATGTTCGGATTGGGTCATGGTGAGGATTTACGACCCTCTCTGTGGCAACTGGTCCGGAGTGGACGTGAGTCTGCCGGGGTCTGCCGGAATTTACGCCTCCTATGTCCTCGGCTGTACTCACACCTGACCGTCACTGGTGAACTACGATGGTGATATTGATCTTCGAGAAATCTTGTCCTGAGCTCGATTAATCTCTTTTTGTTTCAGACCAACTCAGTCACGTCAGCAGCTGCTGACGGCGGGGCAGAATGTTCGGTTTTCCACCGAATGGTTTTCCGCACACACGCACACTCACGCACACTCGCTCCTCTCGCATGCTTGCATGGCTTCTCATGACTGACCTGCGCAACCGACTGAACTGACCAGTGGCCTCTCACCTCTGACACCTGAGGCGCCACTTGATGGACAGGTGTCCAGCGAACGCCCCCATTTAAATTGGGGCACGTTTGGACCCTCGATGATTGACACCTGCCACCTTGCGGTCTTTTAATCGGTCTCATTTGTCCTTAGAGCATCGATCAGTTCACGTGTTTATTCACAGTTTTGATTAGCTCTTCGCATATTATTAATTGTTCCGCGCTTAAACATTAATTGTTATCAATTGCCCATCGAGTGAATCCAGTGAGTTAAAACTCATCGTTAAATATTTGTGACATTTTTTGACTGATCTAACGATTAAAATATATTAAGTGTTTTGACCGACGCCACGCGAGCGATTTCTTGACCCTCTCGAACCCGCTCCCGAAATCCATCGTTTTTTTGCCCATCGCTCAAAAATATTTCCCAAACCAGACTCGGCATCGAACACGGCGAGATTCTAATAAACATGCGAAAATTAAATAAAATAACAGTCCTAATAATTCTCTCCCCCTTTTTTTTATTGTTTTCGGAACATTACGTGAAGGAACAATTTTAACCAGCCAGTGATCTTTTCTTCAAATATTAAGACAATATCAAATATTAAGACAATTATATTGACAAAGGTCAAGGTAAACTTGGAGTGGACTTGAAGGGCAGTCCGTTCTCTCTTACAAAGCCATCGTCGCCCGTCGGACAGCAGCTAGTCCAAACATCATCCTGGGCCAGGTCGTTTGATCTACTGGCAGAACACCGGTGAATCGTTCAAGGTCGGATCATTCAGGACAGTGGTAAGTCTAGTGAAGACGTCATGTGTTATTCTACCCCCGGAAGGTTGATGCTCCAAAAATTAGAGTTCGTTTTTCTTAATTTGTTCGTTTTCGGGAAATTATAGTCGGTAATGAATTTCTCCTCCCTAGTATCGACAAGCTAGTGATTTTCGGCTACCGCTCGATGATTGTCACTGATTTCAGCTTCCCTGAAAAATTGAGAAATTCATGCCCACGTTATTAATGCAAAATAAAATGTTAATAACGCGATTAACTGTGAAAGTTCTCCCCAATCCGTAACACTATATAAAATTAGTAGATCACGAGATGATTGGAAAATGGAAGAACAAAATTTTTCACTGAGTTGTGGTAAAATGGAATCGAAGAATCGCGAATCGTTTTTTAACGCTGATTTATCTTGACAATGAGTTATTTGAGGGGTAAATGCCAAAAGAGGTTTTCGTGGAGAATTGTGCCAGCGACAAAAGTTTTCCCAACATTTATTTCTTAAAATCAGTGGATCACGAGCATTAAGAAACTAAATTTTTCACAAGACGTGAGAAAATGGGATCTATCAATTTGCAAAATTTTTCCACTTTGAATGATTTTTGGAATCATTATATTGTCAATGAAGGGCTTATGGGGGAAGTGTCAGAATACATTTCCATGGGGAATAAATGTTGAATTATCTTAGTAATGCAGGGTTCGACGGGAAAATGTCAACAGCCATTTTTGTGGAGAATCTTGTCACTGTGGGTCAACTCTGAGTTTGAGCTATCAGGGATTCTTCTAGAATGAGTACATCACTAAATACACGCATAAAAAAATTCAATAGAAAAACATAGCGAATTTGCTAGACAATTATTGGATTTCTTCAGAACGTTCTATAAGTTTTTGGCCGTTTCTATCCTACACGTTTCTTTCATTCTATTTTTCTGTTCTTTCCACCAAGGAAATCAAACAACAAAATTTTGAAAATTTGAACCGAAAAAATTCTGTAGGAAATATCTTAATTGTTGTACGGAAAAATCGTTCTATTGAATTTTTCTATAAAATACTTCCTATTCAACATGTCGATAGAAACAGCCAAAAACTTATAGAAAGTTCTAAAGAAATACAATCATTGTCGAGCGAATTCGGTAGGTCTTTCCATTGAATTTTTTCGTACGTGTATATAGTGATCTACTCATGAACCCAGAGTCGACTCTAATTCGAATCTGATTGATTTATCAGGGCTAGAAAAAAATACAGGAGAAACTTTTTGTAGTTGACAAAATTCCCCCGAAAAAATTCCTTCTGACATTTGCCTATCAAACCCCTGATCAACAAGATAATTCAACATTGAGAAAATGATTTCTTACACAGAGAAAAAAATACCAGAACAATTACTGGACTAGCCCGGGAAAAATTCTGGTGCTGGCACATAAATTTTTCCGGGTCCGTTCAAATAAGCCCATTTTACCGTGCTAGCACAGTAATTTTTATGGTATTCTTTTCTCCGTATTGTCTAACTACCTCTCATCACATCTTAGTTTTAAAATTTTATTCCTTAATTCCCCAATTATCTCTCATCCGCTCATTCTAGGAAAAAATGTTGATCAAACCTTTTGCATCTGAAAAAAAAATTCCCATTACAATGTATTCCGGCAGTTCCCCTTTAAAGTCGTCATTAACAATGTAATTATTCCAACAATTATTGAAAATGAAAAAATATTCCAAATTGATCATTTCCATTTTCTCACATCTCATGAAAAATATAGTTTCTTAATTCTACAATGATCTCGTGATCCACTGAATTTAGAAAAAAAATGCCGGGAAAACTTTCATCGCTGACATAATTCCCCATGAAAATGTCTATTGGCATTTTCCACTCAAACAACCCATTGTCATGATAAATCAACGTTAAACCACCATTCCTGATTGTTGGATTCCATTTGACCACATCTCAGTAGAAAATTTTGTTCTTCAATTTTCCCATTATCTCGTGATCTACTCATTTTTGAAATAAATGTTGAGAATACTTTTTGTAGCTGATAAAATTCTCCACAAAAATTTTGCGTGACATTTTCCACTGAAACTCTCCATTGAAAAGATAATACTACACTCCCAAATTTAGTGATTCCATTTTCCTACATTTTTCATTTTCCCACATTAAAAAGCAGAATTTATTTCCTTAATTCTGCAATAATCTCTTGATCTACTAAATGCCGGGGAAAAATGTCAAAGACACTAATGAGGTGAACTGATTGAAACCATGCTCAATTAAAAGACAAGGAATCCTAGTCGAAAATATTCATTGATTCTCATCCCTTCTGAAAGGAAAAAATCATTTAAATGCGAAAAATGGATTCTATGGATCGATCCTAAATCTACATCTTTTGTTTTCACTACATCGGAAGTTCTCGCTGATCTTGACATCTCCTGAGGAAAAACTGTTCGACAATAAATAGAAAAAAATGATTTCATTAGGATCTGGAATTCCAAAAACGTTCTCAGCATTAAAATTGTATGTGATATTTTTTCTGTAATTTTCAAGATTGAAAGTGAGCGTGGTTTAGTTGTTCCTTCATTTTCCTATTTCCCTATTGTGCATCATCCGTAAGGCTTTAGAGTCAGATACAATGTTCATCAAGGATCCCATTGTGATTTTCCAGAATTATCCAATAAAATTTGGTTATTCTTTCCAGAGATCTTCAGATATGGGTGAACATGCTAAATACGACAGGCAGAGGATATTGGCTATGATAAGAAGAATGAGTTGATGGAGGAATAGGAGGCCAAATAGTGGAAAATAGAAAAAGTATTGGAAGAAAGTTGTAAGAATTTCATCTGTATTTCACACTCCATCCTAGTTTGAGGTTTTCTAGGAGAAAGGTCGCCAATGATGCAATTGCAGGTCTTGTTCCAGTATCCTTAAACGAATCAGGAACTCCCTTATTTAGAACCTATTGCGGCACTTCCCAGTATTTCCCATGGAAGCAGGTTTGAAAAAAAATTATTAAAATGACTCAGAGTTTTTGATGAGACATTTTATTTGATTTTTTTTATTATTCATCGGAGAACGGACGAAGGGAGAAGAAATTAATAACACGCATGATAAAATTTAATAGAAAAACGTAGCGATTTCGCTACAATCTTATTGGATTTTTATAGAATTTTCTATAAGTTTTCGGCCG